CTGGTCACGCCCAGTCAGCGGTGGCCACGCCCCCTCCCAATACAAAGGGGCCGCTGTTGGTCCCTGGCCTGGAGCCACTGGGGACAGAGGGGGCCTTGTACTGGGAGCACTGGGAGGGACTGGGGGGGCTCCCAGGCGGCAGGGGGAGGGGACTAGGAGCACTGGGAGGACCTGGGGGGCTCCCAGGGGGGACTTGGAGGCAGCTGGGAGCACTGGGAGGCAACTGGGTGGAGGCAATTTGGAGCAGTACTGGGAGGGACTGGAGGTTACTGGGGAGCTCTATGGGGGGACTGTGAGACACTGGGAGTCAACTGCGGGGAGCTGGGAGTTACTGGGAGTGGTACTGGAGAGGGACTGGAGGTTATTGGGAGCACTGAGAGGGACTGGGGGGCTCTGAGGGAGGACTGGGAGGCAACTGGTGGGTGCTGGGAAATCACGGGGAGGCAACTGGCAGTCACTGGGAAGGACTGGGTGCTAATGATGGTGGTATTGGGAGGTACTGGAAGGAACTGGAGGTTAATGGGAGCCTTGAGTGGGACTGCAGGGCTCTGAGAAGGGACTGGGGGGGCAGGGGAAGACACTGAGAGTCAACAGGGAGCACTGGGAGGCAACTGGAGGGTGCTGGGAGTTACTGGGAGTGGTATGGGAAAGGTGCTGGGAGGGACTGGGAGCACTGAGAGGGACTGGGGGCTCTGAAGTGGGACTGGGAGACACTGGATGGCGACTGGTGGTGCTGGAGAGTCACTGGGAGGCAACTGGTGGTGCTGGGGAGTCACTGGGAGGCAACTGGGGGGTGCTGGGAGTTACTGGGAGTGGTACTGGAAGGGACTGGAGGTTACTAAAAGCACTGGGAGGGACTGAGGGGCTCCCAGGGAGGACTGAGGGGGTGGGAGGAGGCAACTGGGTGCAGCTGGGAGTTACTGGGAGTGGTACTGGGGAGGGACTGGAGGTTACTGGGAGCATTGGGAGGGACTGGGGAGCTCTGAGGGGGGACTGGGAGGTGCTGGGAGTTACTGAGACAGGTACTGAGGAAGGGACTGGGATGGACTGGAGGTTACTGGGAGCATTGGGAGGGACTTCAGGGCTCCCAGGGGGGACTGGGAGAAACTAGGAGGCAACTGGGAGGTGCTGGGGGGCACTGGGAGGCAAGTGGGGGGATGTGGGAGTTACTTGGAGTGGTACTGGGAGTCAACTGGAGGTTACTGGGAGAGTTACTTGGAAGAACCAGAAGTCAACTGGTGGGTGCTGAAGGCAACTGGGAGGCAACTGGAAAGCACTGGAAGGTGCTGGGGAGGAACTGGGAGAAACTAGGAGGCAACTGAGAGACACTGGAGGTTACTGGGAGACAACTGGGGGGCAGTGGGGAGAAAATGGTAGCTACTGTGGGCAACTGGGAGATGCTGGAGGTTACTGGTGGGCACTGGAGAGTTACTAGGAGGTGCTAGGGAGTTGCTTAGGGGCAACTGGGGACACTGGTTGCTACTGGAAAAGGTAACTGAGAGGCCTTGGAGGTTACTGGGAGAGACTGGAGGGCTCTGAGGGGGGACTGGGGAGGGGTGGGGAAAGTTATTGGGAGCACTGGGAGGCAACTGGGGGCTCTGAGAGTTGCTGGGAGGCAACTAGGGGCTGCTGGAAATTACTGGGAAAGGTACTGGGACCCTGGTATTACTGGGGTGGGGGATCACTGGGAGCTGCTGGTGGAATCACTGAGGACTAAGGAGAGGCCCTGGGCTTACTGAGGGTTTACTGGGAGGGTCACTGGGAGCTACTGGTGAGCACTGGGGGTTACTGGTGAAACAAAGAATTAACACCGAGATTTGATCAGTGTTAAACGGCAAATCTCTATTGCCAGCACTGGGTCGCACTGGGGATAAATCCTTCCATAAGTGCTCTGATGACCAGTTGATTACAAAACTTTATATTCATCTTGTCTCAGAAATATTTTACATAAACACACCCATTGATCAGTGTTACAATTTACGGTGTTTTGCTGCCATCTACAATCCTTTTGCAAGAAATACAGTCCCTCTGATGGTCATTTGGTGGCCGTTTTTCATAGTCTTCCTCACTTGACACATGCTCAAGGTCTATTGTCTCGTTTCCAAACCTCAAAACACATTCTTTGTTTTTGGATGGGTAGATTCACAGCCTTGGAGGCTGGTTTCTGACTGGTTACTCCTTTTAAATGATACAAAAATGTTATCTACATAATTTCTACTTACAAAATTGTATTTCTTATCTAAAGGTAATAGGGTTCTCAGGCAAGCAAAAATATTTATCAGCATTATTTTATAAGGCGAATTTCTCAGGCTAGCTAAGCTAAAGTATTTTAAAGTGTTAACAGTTCCTTTCGTAGCAAAGCCTCTGCCCGCAGGGCACACACACCAGGCCCTGCCTGGGGCTGCCACGCAGGGAGCTGCTGCTGCTGCCGTGGGGCAGCGGGGACGGAGCCTCGGGGATGTGGCGCAGCAGGGTCAGGGGCCCAGGCAGCTG